CACCCTGCCATCACCGCAGCTGCCCGTAAGTACAGGCTGGAGTCAGATGGCTCCAGGGCCAGTGTGGACACGGCCACCAGACAGCCCGCCATGCCCTCAGCATGTGCTTGACATCGCAGGCGACACCCCTGCCGAGGGCCCCCGCCAGGCCTTGCACCAGCTCAGGGCCACTGCCCACAAGGTCCCAGGCGACGCTGTGCGGGGAGCAGGAAGGGGGAGGGAAGAGGAAGCAGCTGCGGGATCCAGCCACCCCAGCGCACCGCCAGCCTCTGTCTCTCTGGGAGGCCCAGCGCAGCCTCCCTGACCTTCCCGAGGCCCCATGGCCTCTGGGCGCTGAGCAGGACACCTCTCCCACAGCCTCTGGAAGAAGAAAGGTCTGTGAGCACTCCTGAGGTCCCAGCAAGGGGTTGAGAGCAGCCCTAGCGGAGGGCGGTTCCTTTTTTGGTTTCCTCTGGACGCTCCATGGTAGTGACAGGAGGAGAACTGGAGCCAGTCCCATCACGCGTGACTGTGACCGAGGCCGGCAGGCCCTGCCTGCAGCCTTCTGCCTCGAAAACTGGCGCAGCCGAGCAGGCCAGAAGCCAAGGTGCTTGCCTCCTGGGCCACGCGCTGCAGGTGCGAGGCCAGGTGTGAGCAGCGGGTGTCCGAGCCGCTGCTACCTGCTGCCTCGCTGCTCAGGGACACGTGCACCGTTGGTGAGCCCCTTCTGGCAGGGACCCAGCCCTGCGGAGCAGGCTGCCCTCAGGGCCCCTCACCTCGCTGGGCGCCTTGCAGACCCCTCTCCAAGTGCAGCCCCTTGAAAGCCAGACACGCTGAGCGCGGGACACAGCTCCACCCGGCCAGCCAACGCCTCAGCTGTACTGGACCTCTTGGGCAGGTTCCTGAGCTCGCACACATGCTGGTGCCGGGCCCCTGGCCCCATGCTGCCTGCTCCCGCAGCTTTACACATAGCTCTGCACATTGGTGCCAGGAAGGAATAAAGTGCCGCGTGCCTTACGCGCTTCTCAGAGGCATGGGCTCAGTATGGTTAACAGCGGCCTGCCTCAGTGACGCCCCCGCCACCTCCTCCAGGAGGCCACAGTGCCTTCCACAACATGGACTTAACTCATTCCTCTGCTCGGCACCTCCTGCTTCTGGTTGTCACCAGGAAAGACACCACCACCACGTATGTGGGCAGCGTCGCTGTCCACCCTATGCCCTCCCTTGAATTCATCTCTTTTTCTCCCTGCAGGAGGGCCTCGCCAGGCTCCGTCTCCTCAGCTCCCCAGATCTGGAAGCCCCTCCCAGCCGCGGCTCTCCCCACAGGGCCAGCAGCCGCTGAGCCCCCAGCCCGGGTCCCCCCAGCCACAGAGGTCTCCAGGCTCTCCGCAGCTAGCCCGGGCCTCAGGGAGCTCCTCCCCAAGCCAGGCCTCCAAGCCAGGGTCCACTCTCCCGTCCCAGCCCAGGCTGCCTGCTCAGAGCCGCAATGCCTCCCAGCAGGGAGAGGAGCCCAAGAAGACAGCACCGCCCCATCCCCACCTCAAGTAAGTGTTCTGGGGTCTAGGGACTGAGCCAGGGTGCAGGTAGGCTGGGCCAACAAAAGCAGGTAAGGGAGCACTGGCCTAGGTTTCGGGGAGTGGCGTCACCTTGGCAGGACACAGCAGGGAATCGAGGCTGGGCCCCATGCCTTAGACTTCCATGAGCAGGCACACCCCCTTACCACTTCTCACGAAGCCCCCAAAATTTAGTGGATTAAGAAAACCAGTTTCTGAGTTTCAGTTTGTTAGGAATTGGGCTCAGCTGGATGGTTCTTCTGCTAGTGTCTCCTAGATGACTGCTGGATAAAACGGCAGGTCCAGGGAGACGGATTTCAGATAATGCGTAATGAGAGCTCACGAGTAATTCTGAGTACAAGTAGGCCCAAAATATCACATGGGCTGTAACTGCTTTGTTTTTGAGACAGAGACTTGCTGTGAGGTCTCCGCTGGCCTTGAGTTCACAATACAAAGCCTTGATCTCAAGATCTTCCTGCCTCAGCCTAGCAAGTACTGGGTTACACCATGCCCAGCAAGGACGCCTATACTTTAAAAATGATATAGTTGTTTTACATCTAAAATTTAGCTGCAACTGGGTGTCCCACGTTTTTATCTGGCAACCCTGTGCTCCTGGGTCCACGCCTGTGGCAGCTTCCCAGGAGGGCGCAGTGCACATGTGATTGTCAGGGCCAGCAACGGGGCCTCACCCCGCCGAGGCCAGGCCCAGCTTTGCCCACACGGTAGAGTTCATCTTCAAAAGGACAGAAGCCATGCTGCAAGGGCTCAGCCCGAGAAGGGGCCCGTGTACCACCGTGCTCACCTGGGGTCCCAGCGAGTCACCCAGCAAGCCTACCTCACAAGAGGAACAGATACGGGCACTGCATAGGGCCACCATGGGGGAGGACAGGACACAGGCGCGAGAGGCCAGAGCTGGGGCGAGCTGCTCCCCACCTCCACCGACGAGTCCTGGGGACTGGAGTGTGCAGCCCACGCCACGGCCCACCTCCGCCTGCACTGCTCCACCCTCAGCTGGGCGGGCCCCTCCTGGCTTAACAGTTACCTCTGGGCAGGCGTGCTGGTGCACGCATGTAATCCTAGCACTGGGGAGGCTGAGGCAGGAGGATCGCTGTGAGTACGAGACCAGCCTGGGCTCACATGGTAGTGAGCTCTAGGCCACCCTGAACTGCATAGCAAGACCCTGTCTCAAAAAAATGTTCTCTCTGTCCTTATCCCAGATGCAGAGGTGGGAGCAGAGGCTGAGAACCCGCAGGCAGAGGCTGGGTGGGACCCAGGCTCAGACTCACTGTTACTTTTCACAAAGTGGGTGCAGAGCCATGCGGTCAGGGATCCAACACCCGGAGAAGCCGAGGACTCGTGTTCACCTGCCCTGCTCCCTCCTCTGGTGTTGCTGGCCCTGCAGGACACCACTCGCGTCATGCCCCCCATCCCACCAGACTTTAATGCAAAAACTAACGTGCCCCTTCTAGGCCGCTCTGCTGGCACTACCCTAATCCCAGCACCCTGGAAGGCTGAGGCAGGAGGATCCCAAGTTCAAACTCTGCCTGGATAACTTAGTAACTTAATGAGACCCTGTCTCAAAATTTAAAATGGGGTGGTGCTGCGGGTATAGCTCAATGCAAAGCCCTGAGTTTAATCTCCAGTACTAGGGGTAAAAACAAAACCAAAAAACACCCACAATACACCTTCTGAGCCCTGGTGGCTCTCTCACACCACGCCAGCACCCACCCCCTCTCCTAGCTTTCTGTGTTTCATGGTAAGGCCTAGAGCTTGCCCACCACTTCGCTGACATTTTCCTTTTCATGGCCATGTGGTATTCCCCACCACACAGTACACCAGACTTTCCCTAACATGCCTCACAAGCAATGCCGTGGATGAGGACCTTGGAGTCTGCTCTCACAGCGGCAGGGCCGCAGTGGGAAGGCACGCACGTTTCTGTCTGGTAGACTCTGCCCAGAACCTGTGGCAGGCAACAAATGGCACAGCGGCCCACCGCATGGCCCTGGGTTCAGACCCTGCTGCACCACAGCGAGCCGAGCGGCCGCAGGCACACATTCCCCCTCTGCGTCCAGTGTCCACGCGCAAAGCAGGCGCAGCCCTGGGGCGAGACGCAAGGACGTCAACACCACGTGTCGGGCTGCTGGGTGGCCACCACGGGACAGGCTCACCCCAGTCGCCGGGCCGACGAGAGTTCTCGGACCTCAGCCAGGCTGGTCTGACTTTAGCTAGAAACGGATGCTCTTGCTTACCACTCCGGAGCACTCCCCACCCTGCCGCCCGGTACTGGAGACCGAACTCGGGGCCTGCATGCCGAGTTACATCCCCAGCCCTTATACTGCTTTAAGACAGCCTCGGTGAGTTTGCTAAATTGCCCAGGTCGAACTTTTGATCGTTCTGCCTCAGCCTCCCAGAGTGCTGGGACATTAGATGTGCGCCACCCATTTGGTTTTGCTTTGCTGTGGTGGAACCAGGGGCCGCCTCGCACGTGGCAGGGAGCATTCTAAGCGGGCCCCACCGAAGCCCCGGGAACCCGCGTACTCAGCCCAGGTCAGCAGGCAGCAACCAGAGGCCCGCCCACCCGGGCCCGTCTGGGAGGCTCTGGGAAGGAGCAGAGTCGAAGACGCCCTGCTTGGGAGAGAGAGGGCTGCAGCCTCGTGCTGTGAGCACACTCCTTACACTTGCGCCAGGCTGGGTGAGGCGGCATGCAGCTGTAGTCCCAGCACTCGGAAAACCGAGGCAGGAGGACTGAAGTGAGTTCAAGGCCAGCCTGCTCTACACAGGGAGGCCCTGTCTCAAAAACCTAAGTGCACACACAAGCTTGTGCCACACTTGCTTCATCTCTGCACCTCACTTCCATCACCTCCCCGACTGCGAGGCCCTCGGGCGAGGTCTGCCACCCTCACCTCACCTCAGCACCAGGCCTGCCACTGGAGAGCAGGAGCTGCGGCTGGTACGGCTCACGGCACTCAGGGCAGGGGGAGCCAACGCGGCCTGCGACTGCTCCCAGAAGAGCTTTGGGGAGGGACACGGCGAAGCCAGGGCGGCAGAGCGGGGAGAGCCAGGGCCTGCACTCAGACAGGGAGAGGCTGCGGCCCGGGTCCCACCTGCGCTCGATGCAGCAGCCAACCCAATGCACCCACTCGGTCAGCAAGGCGGGAGCTGTGCCCATGGCGCAATGCCGGTGGCCAGGCAGCGTCACTCTGGGAGCCGCAGTTCTGGGACCCCAAAATGCAGAGGACTGCTCCTTATAGACTGCAGGGCGCCAACACCCCCAGCTGAGGCAGGCTGCGTGCGGCTGGGCGCCTTCTGCCCTCACTGCCCGCTGTGCACCTCCAGGAATCATGGCCTCAGAACTGAAGCCTGCCTTTCTGTTTCAGCAAATCCCAGTCCCTGACCAACAGCCTCAGCACATCAGACACCTCCCAGCAAGGGACCCCGAGTGAGGACGAGGCCAAGGCCGAGACCATCCGCAACCTGAGAAAGTCCTTCGCCAGCCTCTTCTCTGACTAGCCACAACCTGGCCAGAGCACAGGAGGCGGCCGTCACATGTGGCCCTCGGCCTCAGCCTCCTCCTGAGCCTCGCACTTTCCACATGCCCTCACCTGGGAACTGGCCTCTACCGTGTTCCCGCTGGCCTTGGCCCTGACACCCTCCACCTGAGAGCCACCTGCCTGCCCTCACATTTGCTCCTGCCTCTGTGACCCGGGAGATGCCACGTGGCACCTCCCATGTGGCCATGCTCCACTTCCAGCAAGTGCCACCACTCCAGCCAACTTCAGCAACTCAGAGGGATCACTCTGAGAAGTGTCTTCCCATGGAAGAGGCGGCCAGCTGGCGGCCAGCCACCCCAAGCCATGCAGCCCGGGCCTGCTTGCCAGCCAGCTCTGCTAAGGACCATGTGGGGGGTCTTGAGGTCAACGAGAAGGCTAAGGACCCCACGGCACACAGCAAGCCTCTGAGAGCCACTGGACGGGGACACTGTCATAATGCCACCCACCTCAGAGCGTCCCCCTAACCAGACACCAGGAGCCAACCACAGGTCCTCACTGGATCTAGGCAGCTGCCCCCTGGGGCTTAGCTGGGCCCTCTGATCCCCTGCAGCTCTGCTTCCCTTGCCAGAGCCATGCACAGGACAGAAACCGGAACTTCCAGCCACGTGGCAACGTTTCCAGAGGCCCCAGGTCAGGAGGAGCCAGGCAGTGTTGCTCCTGTACCAGACACAGTATAGGACCAGGTCACAGGCTCTAGGAGATGGGCCGGACACTACCCACCCCTTCTGCCTCGGTCGGCCGCAGGCCTTGGAGTCAGCCTAGCTTCCTTCCCAGTGCTCCCAGCCTATACCAGAATGCACCCTGTGACCAGGGGTGTCCCAAGCCACCAACACCTGGTGCTAGAAAGAGCCACTGGTCCCAACAGGAGCCAAGACCTTGTAACCGCTGCGTCCTCCTGACAGCCAGCTTGGCAACACCAGCCCTGTCTCCCCTAGCTGCTTCGGGGATGGTAGGAGGGCCACTTTGGGTGTCCAGGCAGGGCAGCTTCGAGTTGTGTCCAATGGCAGTCTGCTTGCATTCACCTGAGACCCAACCAGGGCCACCACGCTTTGCCTCCTCCTGGTCCAGATTGGTGAGCCCAGGCCCATCACCCTCCTTGCACGGTCACCTCCAGCCGGACCTCAGGGGACTCCCCCGCAAGCTGGCTTCCACCAGGCTGCAGGCTAGACAGGCTCCGGCCTGAGTGCCAGCACAGCGCAGCCAACAGACCTGGCTCTCCTCTCCTCCTTGCGTTCTTCCTCCCCAGGTCTGCGCTACTTTAGAAGCCCTCTGGCACCTCTTGTTCCTGACCCTGTAGCAGCTCCTGCATGGGGAAGATGGATGGATCCAGCTGCTGGCGACCACTGGAGCCCTGCCATGGCCCTGGGTCCTGACAGCACCTCCCTCTTCTGTGGATCAGGCTGGCCAGGAGCAGTCTGAGTCCCCGGCAGCCACTGCAGGGCACAACTGATGGCTCCGGAAACAAGGGGCAGATGGCCCAAGCATCCCCCCTCTCCTGTATATTGTCCCTTGTCCCTAGAAAGACACACCCCCTCCCTACTACGCCAAGTGCAGTAGCAAAGGCTCCCTTACTTTTCTTTTTAGCATCGAGAACATGAAGGCGGACTGATTTCCCACAGCGGGGACCATCTGGAAACTGCACTAAGAGCGCTTCCGTGCGCTGTTACCAACACACGTTACTAGGTCAGGTGTAGCCGCACGGGAAACCGAGCGCTCACAAGCAGGTGAGGGAACCTCAGAACAGGCCTCAGATTCCCAGATGCTTCAGATGGTCTGTCTCTATACTGACCTACACAGCACATTGTAGTAGAACACAGATGAAAATCTGAATGGTAAAGCCACTTAGGCGAGATTCCAGGAGCAAGCAGAAGTAAAAGCCTCCTCTAACACCCCAACCAGGTCGGGCTCTGGCAGCCTCACACAGACAGCTCTAGGTCCGTGGCGGGACTCCAGCGCGCGGCACCTCCCGCCCCTGCAGGGCCTGCACATGCGCAGAGCAGCGGCTCAGCATGCAGCCTCGCGGAGGCCGCAGGTCACCAGATGGACTGCTCCTCCAAAAATGTGACCTTTAAGGGTTGTGACATCTGGACATGGGAAAGAGCAGACGGGGAGGGGACTCACTGTATATAGCTTCTGAAAGGTTATATTTGTTTTTTTGCTTTGTTTTCCAACTTTGACCCAAACAAAGGCTAGCATTTACCTCCATGCTGACTTGACGCAGCTGAGACCACAAAGCCCCACTGAGCCCACGCACAATGAACGGGGGCTCGGTGACCTCGAGGGCGCCGCCGCCAGCGCGCCGAAGTCCCCTCTTGAGCCTCCTCCTGCAAGCAGGATGAGCTGCACCAGGCTTGCGCAGAGGATCACTTTCAGGGACAGGAGCGTGCGTGTGTCATTCCTCCCACGCCCCCTCCTGCTCTGGCCCTGCTGACAACAGCGAGTCCCATGCTCCCCAAATTTGGGGTGACAGAGCTGCCCGTGCACTGACAGAGAGGACCCCTGGAGCAGAGGTGGCTGTGTGACGGCTGGCCATGGCCACGCTGCAGGCCCCACATGCTGTACCGCAGGCGGCTGCCACCGGGCCCAGAACACTGAAATTAGTGGAGGCGAATGGCGTAATGAAGAAAATGGCTGCGGCTGCCAGTGTATCAAGGTGAGGCGCCTGGCTAGGCACAGAATCAAACCAACGAGAGGAGTTAAGTGAGGTAATAAAATGATAATCCCAGTGGCAGTTTCTTAATCTCAGTAGGACCTCTTCTGGATTACAGCAAAGGGGAGCAGAGGAGGAGGCCTGGAGACCCCGCGAGCACGGACCCAGGAGATGGCCTGGGTCTGCCATACTGGGAGCCCAGCACCCACAGTCCACGGCTCCCTCTGGGGCTGCGTGGCGGAGGCCGGGCCCAAGGACCGAGGGCACCTTCCACCTGAGAGCTGTGTGCGCTTTGCCCGGCAACACACAGCCCGAGCTCCAGCCACCAGCAGGCACAGGGGGCCTCCTGGGACCCCGCGCACCCACGTCTCTCAAGCCTGGCTCGCTGTGTTCTGCATGTAGAACTTGTGCAGAGCTGCAGGTTCGTCACAGGCCAAGATGGTGAAATCAGACTTGTGGGTTCAACGGGTAACCCCACTGGCCAGCAGGACAGCCATCGGCCCAAGAGGCCTAACCCGGGGCCACTGAGTGTCCTAGCTGTCCTACACCCCAAAAGCTGCAGGTAATGAGGGCAGTGATTGGGAGCAGCGCCCTACTCGGTTTGGAGGCAAACTGAAGCCCAGGCGAAAAGCGAGACCCCCAGTTGTGTCAACCACTGCATGAAGGACAGAGGTTCCAGGTGCTTCCAGCACAACAGACACTGCGTACACGGGGCCCGATGGCTGGGGCAAGAAACAAGGGTAGGGAGGCGGTCTCCAGAGCCAGGAGGTGCTTCCAAAACCAAACGGCTCTTGTACAAGTCACGCGACTTTAATCCTTTAGGGCCAGAAAGACCTTGCGTTCTTTTCGCAGATCCTCCTCCTGGCCTACTCCACACCCATGCCCCCACAGTCCTCTGCTGCAGCTGGGCAATTAACACCTCCCCAGCGCTCAGTGAGCACCGTGCCTGCCTCGTGCAACAGCCGAAGTGCCACCACCTGCCGTGCGTGCAGGAGACTGGGGTGGCACTCGAGTAGTTCTGAGACAGCCTGGCCATGGGGACAACTGTCCTGTGCCCCACAGCTCCCAGGCAGGACAGGGCTGACAGCTATGCCGGGGGCAGGAGACAGGGAGCAAGGGAGAAGGCCCAGCTGTGAGAACTGGAAAGCCCCACGCAGAGGCAGAACAGGCTCACGTTTTCAGAGGGAACCAGGCTGAATGGGAAGGAGCAGCCCCCGTGTCTGGACACACGGCGCTGGGGGATGCGTTATGGGGTGCGGGCAGGGAGCCAGGGCCTGGTAACCCAAGTAACTAGAGGGCGCACTGGCGGGCCACGGAGTGGGGAGGCCACGCCAGGGAGCCGCACCTTCCACGGCTGCTTCCCGGTGCCCACCCCGCTGCCGCTCCAGGGCATGAGGGAAGCTCAACTTCACTTGAGCACTCCAGCAACACGGAAGGACCGGAAGGACCGAGTCTGTCTCCTGACAAGGTCAGATTTTACAAGCTACTGGCCATAAATTTAGCCTACAGGCAGGAGGGAAACCCGGAGGATTGTTTTAAGAACTTGTAACGAAGGACTGAGACGCATGCACATGCAGCGTCAGGGCACACGGCCGATGTCCTCAAGACGCTGGCCGTCTCCCGGGCCGGAGTGACACTGCGGAGCCCCAGCGGCACCAGCTCCACAGCGCTACAGGGCCGCCCTGCAACGCATGGCCCTGCAGCAGCCGGTGCTCCTGGTCACTGCGTCTAATGCAACTTCACGCGTGTGCAGTCCACGCTGCAGGGCCACAGAAGCATCGAGGGTGGAGCGCCCAGGCCGCGGGAGCACCTGCCCTGCAAGGACTGCGCCAGCTCACAGCTCAGGCCTGCCGGTGGCCTGGCCTCACCGCACTCACCACAGGCGCTGGCAGCCAGCCCGACTCGCTGACTTACTGTGCAGCAGAACACAGCAAGCAATCCCGCTGTGCACACCCCCAACACTCCTGCAGCACCCACCACTCCAAGCCCTTTCCTCACACGCAAAGCACTTCTTACAGCGCAAGCCAACACTGGCAGTACTCCCAAGTACTTCCTGCAGACGCGAAGTCTGCTCATTCCTGTATTATGGCTGACTTTAAGTTGTCACTGTAGCACGTGTCTATAGTTGTTTGTATGTCAATTTGTGTTTGGCCTTTTTCTTACAGAAAAATAAATCTTAAACTTGTTTACCCAGCTAGAGACGGCTCTCTTGGAAGAGCAGTACCAGACCGGCACTCAGCAGAACTCTGCTGCTAGAAGTCTGCTCAGCGCACAAAACGGCAGCACTCAAAACACCTCTGGCAGTGCTGCGCGGAGCCCGCGCTCCACCACAAGGGAAGCGTCACCCGCACTCCAGCACACCTGCTCTGCTTCTATCAGTTTTATAAATTTAACTTTCATTTAAAGACAATCTCTAAAAAAAAGAAAGAAAAAGCAAGGCCCCAAAGTGCCTGCAGCACTAAGTTGCCTATGCTCACTCAGAAGGTTCCCTGGTAATTTTAAATGTCTGGGTAAAACAAAATGTTCTGAGAATTCATGAGACATCCTTCTGGGACAGAAGTCAAGCTTGCCAAGGATATGACACTTGCTGTTTAATGTTGTGCAGGACGCTATAACAGGCTCCACCTAGAGGGGACCAGGCAGGGAAGCAGCAGCCAGCACCCCAGAGGGAGGCCCTGGGCACCCCCTCCTGGGACCTGCAGCTCCCCGGGCTCTGAGGGCACAGCTCTCCTTGCCACAACCAGGAGCCCTGCAAGGCTGCACCCGTCACATGAACGACATCCGGCTGTCAGAGGACCGGCCCCGGCCGGGTCTCAAGGGGAACCTGCCACCCAGGGCCCCTCGCCCTGGCAGCATAGGGTTGGGTCCTGGGAAGGGGCCAATCGGGTCAAAACGCGGTCTGAGTGGAGGGAACTGGCCAGGAGTCTGCCCGGGCCCTGGGATGAGGGAGCGGATCGGGTCCCCAACGTAGGGCAGCGTGGGCCGCTGGTCATAGTCGCCACCGATGATGCCTGGAGGGAGGAGCGGGATGGGGGGGAAGGCATTGGGGGGGAAGGCGCTGGGGCAGAACGGGCTGGAGTGGGGGCAGGGGGGCAGAAGCACCGCGCGCCGCGCCCTCCGTGCCTCCTTCCTCTGCGTGTACCTCTTCCTGTACAGCTGTGGAGACAGAGAACAGGGCAGCAAGTGGCTCAGGTACTCTCCAGGGCACACGATCCACCACTCCTGCCCATGCCACCCAGCAGATGGACAGCAGGGCACAGAGAGGACAGCTGCACCCACAGCATCGGGCACCACACTCCCTTGGGGGCACTGGGACTCGGACCCAGGGGCACGCTGCCGCTGTGCTACATCCCAGGGTCCTGCGGAGTTTCCCAGGTAGGACTTGGACTTGCGACCCTCTCAGCTCTCCAGATGCTGAGCTCACAGGTGTGCACCATGCGGGCTCGGCCCACCCTCTGCAACTGTGCTGGAACAGGGAGCCACAGCAGGGCTCACTCAGCGGCTCGGACGCAGGACTCCGGTCCACACGCCCACGCTGGCCTTCAATCTCAGGCTGGCCTTTTAGGTGGAAAATACAATGTCTGGGCGCAGGAAGGGTGAGGACAACATTTAAATTCATTTTTGCCTATGTCAGGTCCCCAGGTGATCCCAATTTAAAACAAACCATGGGCCCACTTTAGAAGAAATGGGAGCCCTTTAAGGAACGGCACCGGGGGCCAAGGAGAAGGCTCAGTGGAATAAGTGCTTCCCTGGCAAGCGCAAGGGCCTGAGTTCAATCCCCGGTTCCGTAAAAAAAAAGCTAAGTCTGGCTAATAACATAGCATGTCACAGAAGCCTTTGAAACTGTCTTATTCATATTTATTTCTCAATAAAAAATAAATTTTAATGTAATCCCTCAAAAAAAAAAAAGGAACAGCACTGGGCACCAGGTACAGAGTAAGAATTTTAATGAACATGGGCTCCTCCCTACTCCACCACAAGGGGTTCTCTCAGGCCTGCTGCTGCCTCTCACCAAAGTTATCTGCAAATAAAACAACCCTTTCCGCATGTAGCATTTCAGCTTTACAGCTGAAGACTGCTCCAGTACAAAGACAATTCAAATGTTTTTGCCAAAATGTAAGAATATTTTATATTAAGATGAAAAGCAACCATAGAGTTCTTCCCTATATAATTACAGAAAATAAAGGTTAAGTTTAAAATAGAACAGAAAACTATTTTCGTTCCTGAAATTTAGAAATGCATTTAATGCAAATAGATGTCACTATATTCTAATACACATGAAACATGTCCCACGACTAATTCAGAACTGATTTCTGTGTCATGGACATTATTAGCCTTCATATTTAAAATCACCAGGCCAGGCGTGGTGGTGCATGCCTGCGATCCCAGCACTTGGGAGGCTGAGGCAGGAGGACCACTACACATTTGAGACCAGCCTGGGATGCAAAGTGAGTTCAAGGCCAGCCCGCCTGCACAGCGGGATCCTGTCTCAAAAAGACAAAAGTAAGTACAATATAAAAATACTTACTTCTTTCCAGTCTGTGTCTCGAACTCTGACAGAACCATCTACGAAGGAAAACAAAAAATACAACATTATACATACTTCCTTCAGCCAGCACTGAACAGTGGGCTCGCTGTGTCCTGAACAGGCTGAAACTGACCCATGTAGCACAGGGCGCCGCAGCTCGTGCAGAACACGCACGCCGTGCGCCCCGTGCCCTGCCGGCCCGTCCTGGTGGCTCAGAGTGACGGCCCTCTCCAGGCTCGGTGCTGCACGTGGGGTGCGCCTGCACTAACGGCCACATCTCATGCTCCCCAGACCCACTCCCACCCCACTGCTCCTGCCACACCAGCCACAGGTGTGTCAGGGCCAGGTCTGCCTGGGGGCCTGAGGTCAGGCTCACCCTTCTGCACCTAGGTGAGATGGTTCTTCCCATCATGCTCAGGGATTCACCCCAGGAAGACAATGGCAGCAGGGGCTGGCAGTGTGCTTATTCAGCTGAGACGCATGCAGTGAGGAAGGGGGGTCCCAGTGCACTCTGACCTCAGGAAGAGCTCAGGTGCGAGGCAGCAATGTCCTCCTCACGCACTAGCACAGTAGGGGAGCCAGGTGCCGCGTGCGCCAGCCCCCCACGCGGCACCCACAGGGACATCCAGCACACTATGAGCCTCAGAGCCACAGACAGAACGGAAGAGACCAGGAAACCCCAAGTCTGAGCCTGGGTGCACAAATGCATTTGTTCGGAGTATTTATAGCACAGCCTGCTGTCAGCTAGCTGTTCCACACACTTCGGTCATTTTGTCTTTCTGACTTTGTTTTTAACCTTTTTTTTAAAATTTTATTTATTTATGTGTGTGTGTGTGTGTGTGTGTGTGTGTGTGTGTGGCCAGCTCAGCCCACCAGGGGGCGGGGCTGGCTGGCATGTGGTGCTGGGGGATTGAACCGTGGTCCCTGTGCTTTGTTAAGCTTGTTCTAAGTAGGTGCTTTAGACCACTGAGCCATCTCACCAGCCCCAGTTTTTAACCTTTTTAATTTATGTTTTTCATGTATGTGTTTGGTACAGGGTCTCACTACACAGCTCAGACGCCTAGTGATCCTCCTGTTTTCAGCCTCTCCACAGCGCTGGGATTCCAGGCGTGCACCACCACGCCCGGACTCCATGGCTGGCTCAGCATGCCCGGAGTGGGGCTGGCACAGCATGCGGGACCAGCATGCGGGAATAGGGATCGAACCCTGGTCCCTGCGCTTCCCAAAGCAGGCACTTAGTCCACTGAGCTATCTCACTGGCCCTTTTTAAACTTTCAAATGACACTTGCTGCCAACTATGACAAAATAAGAGTTTTAAACTTTGGATGAAGGAGAATAAAAGTCTTGGGAATCGAGGAGGAGGAAAAGGAAACTACATCATTCACACTTCTTAACACTTTTAAGTTGTTGTTTTTTTGAGGAACTGGGGATTAAACTCAGACCCTTGTGCTTGCCAGGGAAGTGCTTATTCTACTGAGCCACCTCCCCAGCCCAACACTTTTAAGTTTGGAAAAAAATTTAACACCCCAAATGATCCCACATGATATTCTGTTTCTTAAAAAATGAGGCAGGGAGCGGACCTGCCCAGCAGATGTCTGCAGTGCCCGGGTGGGGCGCTCATGGGGCACGTTCCACTCCCAGCTGCTGACGTGAGCCACCAATCTCTCCAACGGCAACACGGTAGATACCTACACAGACCGACTGAGCAGAACTTACTCCACTTTACAAATGGGTACTATATATCAAAAAAATACCGGCTAATTCATGTGCTCTACTCTTTTATAAAACAACTCCTGGACTTCAGGACCCAGCCCAAGGCGGAGTGACAAGCCCTGGCAAGCAGCAGACAGGAGGCAGACGCTGTGCCGAGCTCGGGAGTTTGGCCTGGACCCGCAGCGCCGGTGCCTGGCTCACTGCCATCACTCCAGTGTGACCACGGGCACAAAGCTGGCCTGGGCACCCCGAAGCACTCTCCATGCCCATGCCCTCTCCAGTCAGGAGCTGAGGTGGCCTTGGCGCCACTCCCACGTTGCTACCCTGAAGTGTGAGCGCGCTGGGAATAAAGCACAGCCTGCAGCTCAAACGCCTCCATGAAGGCGGGCCCTGTCACCTGCAACTCCACAGAGGCCGAGGCTCCAGTAGGAAGAGCAAGAGCCCTTTTCTCGTTAACTCGCCAAGCAATCACCTCGAAAGTCCCGCAGATACAAACACCTCCACAGCAGCGGGTCGTTCGATGCCACAAGCAGGTCACGACAGACCGCAGACAGAGACAGGACGGAGCGCACGTCCAGGAGCCGGAAAATCCGCAGCTTCAGCTCCAAGGGCAGGACAGCCAGGCCAAACACGTCGGGGAGGTTCAGCGCTGAGGGGGAAGAGAGGCAACAGGGGCTGCTGAGCAGGGGCGTGCAGGCCCCATCAGCCAGAGCCGCCAGCGTCCCTGCTGAGGACACGACAAGCCGGACAATGGCCCCGTTACCCAAGCAAACATCACCGCCAGATGAAGTCTAAACCCCAGGCTCTTCATCTCCTCTGACTTGCAGTGTTGGCTCCACTCCCTTCACACTTGCGGGACTTTTTTTTTTTTTTTTTTTTAAATGTATTTGGTAGAGGGTCTCACCACTACGCAGGTCAGACTTGCAGCCTGGACTCAGTGACCCTCCTGTTTTCAAGCTCCCCAGCAATGGGATTATAGGCATGTGCCACCACACCCGGACTCACTGGCCGGCTCAGCCTGTGGTGCGCCTGCGGTGCCAGCAATCGAACCACAGTCCCTGCGCTTAGCTAAGCAGGTGCCTAGTCTGCGGAGCTGTCCTGCTGGCCCCAGGACGTAACTCTTAACACAGATGAAATAACTGGCAGCTTCTCAACACGTACTAAGCAACACTGAATGCACTGGAGTCCCTCTATCCCACCACAGGAAGCTATTCCTCCACTAGCTTTTAAATGGCTCCAAATCCTGCCACTTATCAGCTGTGTGCTTTCTGACAAGTTTTTTTTTTTTTTTTGGTACTGTGGACAGAACTCAGGACCTTGTGCTTGCCAGGCAGGCACTGTGCCACTGAGCGACATCCCCAGCTGGGACAAGTGTTTAAAACTGTGCCTCACTCAATGTCCTCATCTGCAAAACATGCTAATGACATACATGTGAGAACAAACCCATTACCACAAGCACAGAGTACTCAGGACGATACCTGACGCGTCACAAGTGCTCGAAGGGCAGCAATCACTACTACTCCACATGGAAGAGGCTGAAGAAAAGGAAGACAGAGACTCACAGGCAAGGCAAAAAGCAGAGATGAAAGAGCATTACCTCCCTGTCACATGAAACTGGTTTTGTATCATAGACCGAGTATCTCTTATCTAGAATGCTTGGGATCGGTATTTCAGACTTTAGAGTCTTCCCAATTTTGGATATTTCCAGGCCGGGGAGATAGCTCAGTGGAATAAGTGCTTGCCTGGGAAGCACAAGGTCCTGAGTTCAATCCCTGGTACCAATAAAACAAACAAACAAACAATTTTGGATATTTCCATAGACTATACTGGCTGAACATCCCTTATCCACATGTCCAAAATCTGAAACTTCTAAGTATCTGGAAGTTTCTAATTCTAGAGCACCATGGATCTCACTTTTCAGACTAGGGCACTGCACCTATGCCAGCCCCTTGGGACTATCAGTGACACTGTTCCCCACCCGTAGAGATAACCAGACCCAACAGCAAGGTGCAAGCCTTTTAATTTCACTTATTCTGACTCTTACCATCCACAAAAATAGAGAACTATGGTAATCCCACCCATGGCACTGGGCAACTCGAAACCCGGAGCACCTGCTCAGGTAACAGCGAAGGCTGCGAACATCCACCCGCTCTGCGGCCCCGCCCCTTCAGCACTACCCTGCACAGCACCGCACCGCACGCCCAGGAACCTTCCCACCCTGGACTGCACTCGTCCCCACGGCAGGGTAGACCATGCAGGCCTCTCTGTCCAGGGAGGCAGCCAGGGAGGTGACACTGCACTCTGGAGCCAAGCCTCTGCGACCAGCACTCGTGGGCCGCTGGGCCACTGCTCCTCTGCTACAGAAGCGGGCACCCAGGGAGGGCACTGTGAGCACAGCAGCCACAGCCACGCGCACAGGCAGGCACAAGGCTCCAGGCCTGCAGGAGGTTCTTACTGAAACACAAACAAGCTAGTACAAGCCGCCTGAGGGAATCGCAGACCTCTCTGAATTACTGTTCCAGCTACAAAATGCATGTAACACAAATCTACTTCAAAGTAATCAGCATTAAGAATTCATAAAGCATACGAAACATCTAACAGTATGCTGACACAGAGGCCCCGCAAACGCCACTGAAGCTCATGCACACCCGCCTTGCAGGCTGCACGCTGCCTGTGTGTGCACTGGGCACTGCGAGGACCGGACCATCAGGACATACGCGGGTGGGGCACGTGCCCTCCCTTAGCCTTACAGCCTCATGTGGAAAGAGGTCACACTCAAAGCGCTACAGTCAGGATACACACAGTACTGCCAAGTGCGTCCCAGAAGAGGTGGGAACATTTCAGGAAGCCACACCAAGGCTTCTAAAAGAACAGAACCTCAACTGGGGGAGGAGCGCTCAGCGGAGTCACGTGCAGCCCGCAACAATCACCCCTCTCACCTTGCCGGGTGAAAGCCAGGAGCGGGTACACCAGCTGGTCTTTGAAGAGCCGGGAGAACTTCTGGAGACCCTTGTATACCTCGGCTGCATTTTCCCCTGGATTTTTAAAAATTGAAATATCAAAACACACAATCAGGCAGAAAAGCTGTTTTCTTTTACTGTCAAACCAAATCAAAGTGGTACATACGTCTGCCCAAGAACCCCCACTCTGACATGTTGTATCCCAGTCCTGGGTGGAGTGGTGGGCTGGAGGCTCAGAAGGAAAGCCACAGAGCTGCTCCCAGCCCACAGGACTCACAGACCACTTGTGCAAACCCTGCCACGGGAGATTCTGCTCCCAGCACGCCTCGTCGACAGGCAATCGATGGGCCCTGCACACAGCAGAAACAGCTCTCTCCCAGTACTGGCACTCACCAGCTGATGACCTTCCCCGCAGCCCTGCCTAAGTGACATATACTACTGTCCCATCTGGAATGGGACCAAGTACAGAGAGCCTGGCCCACCCCCACAGCAAGCCGTAGCGCAAGGTCCACATCTAGTGGGTCTGGCTGCAAAGCACTCATGTCTAGTCACACCACGGCTGCCTGGTGGGCCTAGAGGCCGGAATGCCACCACTGAGCAAGGCCTGTTCCCAACCGCCAGGCTCCACTAAGTCCTGCCGAGTCCGCATCATGCAGCAAGAGGCTCTTTATGGAGTGAGGCTCCACGTTCACGCTCACCAAGCTCCTGGCCCTGCACGACAACAGGCCCCATGCACTCCCCCAGCCCGTCTGCCCACCTGTTCAAGGGGACACCCCACTAGCCCGAGGACCTGTTATAGGATAAGCCTCCACAGAGAGCACCCAGCGTTCCACAGCATGTGCCCACTCCCTGCTGCTCCTGCACTGACGCACCTCACTATAAACATCATCACCTAGCTCATGAGAACAAGGAAAAGAGATGTGCCGCTATAGTCTCACCTTTCTTGAGTGAAACTACAATCCTAAATTTGAAATCTGATGTCAAGACACATTAAAAATCCATGTGGCAGGGCTGGGGAGATAGCTCAGGAAAGTAAGTGCTTGCCTGGCAAGTGCAAGGTCCTGAGTTCAATCCCTGCGCGCCCCCCTCCCCCCAAAAAAATCCATTTGGCTGACGACCTTTCTTCAAGTGTAAAAACTGACTTTCTTTACATCATTTCCTTTAGCAACCTATCATACAAATATTTAGGATCTGGTAAGTCTAAATAACAGTACTCAGGGATAGATGCCAGTCTACAACTATAAGCCACATTAAAATTTATTAAAATGACTTGCCCAATATACTTTAGTATATTCCTACTCAACACAGAAGTACTTTATTAAAAATAATCCATAAATTTATACAAAGATATAAATTTCTGCCTCCCTTTTCATTTCCTTAAGAGAAACAAGGACAATAACAGGCATTGAAGCAGCTCTCTATAAGTTGTTTTTAAGGCTGGGAATCCAAGATATTCAACTCCAAATTCCTCCACTTATTAGGTCTGTGACCCCAAAGTAAATTTCTTTTCTCTGGACCTGTTTCCTGACCTATAAAATGGGCATGAAACCTATGAAAGCCTATGGCATAAGCATTTCTCCTACGGCAAGGGCCTTAAAGTGCAGGGATGAAAACAAAGAGCTCCAGCCAAGAAACTTGAAGTTGTTCTGTTCCAAATGAGAAAACCATACCCGCACAGATCCAGGCATTTCAAAGGGGCAAGAGCAAAGGTGCAGAAACCTTGCTGGGGAGCAGCAGTGTGAGAACTCTGGCCTAGTCCAACACTAAGCGCTCAGCAGAGTTAGTGCCGCACTCTGCTCCACCCTTACCTGTACACTTCTGAATCCTTTTCCCATCAGCTTTAGTCTAGGTCAGTCTCCCAGGCCTGACGTCCCCTGGAAACTACCATTAGTCTCCGGGGAGTCAGAGCAACGCCAAGATCTAGCAGCTCTCCCTGAGAGGGGCTGCCGCGAATGCCACTCCCTGTCTCCAACACCCAGGCAGCTCCTGACACCCTGCCCCGCCCGACGAAGGTGAATGGATAACGCAGGCGAAGGTGCACGAGCCCCAGAACAGACTCAGACAGCGTGGGCGCTCCTCTCCACCCCATCTCTTCTCCTTCAACCACTTGCTTGCCTCTCAGTTTTGGGTTCCATTGAAAGCTAATAAAACTAAATGTCTTTTTTACATAGACTTATACAACCAAAACTATGCCTAGAACGCAAACTTTGGCAAAGTTCTAACCTTAAAATCCAAATACAATTGTATTTCAGAAAACAGCACGAGTGTGGCTCTTCCCGCAACAGTCCCCAGTGAGGAAGCTGCACAGGAGCACTTCCACGAAACTCAAGCCTCCACGTTCTAAGCAGATAACACTGTCTTGAATTTGCTTTTGTCACCCCGGGAGTGTTCTGCCCTCTGAACACCACCTTTTCGGCTTTTTCAAAAGTCAACCTCTTAAAAAAAAAAAAAAAAAGAAAGTGAACCTCTTACAGCCCTCTTACAGCCCAAGTGAAATGATTGTGTCACCTGGCTCCTCTGTATAAATAAAGGACAATGGCGGCAGCTGCAATCTCTTCACGCTTCTAATCTCACCGCTGATCTTCAGGATAGCTACAAATAAGAAAAGAAATGGCCTAAAAACCGTGTCCGCTCCCCAGCTGCCTTCCTTTCTCAGCAGTGGCTTGCGTTCCCCTAACTGCAATGTACTGTGGACACATTATGCTAAGCAAACTGCTGCGTGCCCAATTCTTCCCCTCATGACAGGGTCAAAAGTATAAAGCTGCCATGAAGTAAAGCCGGCTCCACCCCACCCTCCGCAGCTACAGTGGGCATCTTCATGCGCAGCCCTCGGAGCACCGCCCACAGCAGCAATTAGCAATCGAGTGAAACGCAGCAAGGTTAATAGGAGGCAACCAAACATAACACAGCCCCTGTTTCCCCAAAGTCAGTACAAACACCATCCATGCCTCTTGTGCCCTTGGCAGCGGTCCCGCCCGTCCTGGAGGGGGTTCTGCCAGTTCACCCAGCAGCATCGCTCTCAGGAGCAAAGGGCCGTGCCTGTGATTCCCCAGGGGCCCAGCGGGGCCCTGGCACAAAGGCGCACTTCATGGGCCCATGAAAGGGGCAGTGATGCGCCACCACGTGTGTGCAATGCACAGGCCCAGTACCCGGGAGGGAGAGCAGGGACACGGTGTTCCTCCTACTGCAGCCAGCATGGCAGGGCCTGCGGGCCACCAAGAATAGTAAAGGAACAAGGCAGGAAAAACCAGGAGCTCATCAGAGGGCTCGTATGACAAAGTAAGGCACAGCACCACGCTTGACCACCAGTATCTCAGACCCTGCAAGTCAGGATGCGCGGCGGCAGTGATTAAATAGGACCTACCTTCTATTTCAGCAGCTTTCAAAATAAACCTTAGCAGAGAAAAGTATTTCGTCAAACACAAAAAACAAAACAAAAAAATGCAGTTGTTCAATGTTACCGCACTACTTCACTAAGCCAAAAGGATAAACCTCAAAATAAATGAGCCCCAGGCGCAAGGCAAGAGCAGGTCCCAAGAGCCGCTGCAGCATGTGCAGGCTGAGGCCACTCCCGCAAGCACTGGCAGCCTGCAGGCAGGGCGGCCTTGAGCTCCAGGGACAGCCTCAGGCGGGAAGCACCGCTGACCCAGAGATCTCGCCACTCCAAAGGGCAGAGAAAGCAGTGCTCTCCTCAGCGTGGCTTCTCAAGAGGGGCAGTGCGTGCTGGTCAGAGACGCCACACTGGTAAGCGGGGCCCACCGCTCCGGGGATCTCACTCTCTGCTTAAGCCTTCTGTTGAAAAACTAAAACTAAAAGCCATCTGCAGAGAGGCAAGAAAAAGAACTCAGCCTGCACTTCGTTCGCTCAATCAGCACAGCTCCTGCCTATAGAGGGAAGGATATACCAGGCTGAGCCCCAACCTCGCACACCTCCCCAACTTGATGTTAGTGGTCTTGGGATGAAATAAAATTGAGAAAGGGTCCCCAACAGTCAATCGCTGAAGCAGCCACAGCCACTAGGAATGAAACGGGGGTGGCGTCCTGCGCAGTGCCCCATACCATTGATGACAGTCAGGCTGCCCAGCGGCACACAGGTGAGCACAGTAGAGCTGTCCTCGCACAGCGGGTGTGTGTACTGCAACTTATACACGTCGCTCACCCTCCACTGCTCCGGCATGGACACGGCCTTGGCTCCCGTCCCCTGCAGAGTGAAACAGGGAAAGTGCAAGCAAGGAAGGAAGGCTGAAATCTCAAAACATTTAAGACCCATCTTCAGAAATTAACATTCTCTTAATTAAAATGGGTTATACCATTAAGACTTATTTATTTATTTCATACAGAGTCTCGCTATGCAGCTTGGACTCCTAGTGATCACTGTTTTTTTTTTTTTTTTTTTTTTT